TGTAATTGATGCTCCAATGTACAAAAATCAAGGAATGAGATTATAACAATATACACATTTTATAGATCTTTTCACAATCAAATTCCTGTGGGTTGGGATTAAGAATAGATAGACAGTATCTCCTGCTAATTAAAGGCGTTTAAAATGGCGTAGTGGTAAGACACAGTAACTACTACTACAGCAGCTTGTACATCTCACAAAACGTACTGGCTCATCAACTGTGATGCAAAAAGCAAGAGAGAACTACCTACTGTATTCATTTCCTTAGAATAAGGATAAACTAAACTATGTTGGTTGCAGGAAAAGGCTTTTACAAGTAATTGAAAGAAGTCTTTTTTGTATCATTTTACCTGTCTTTGGATTTAAAATATATACATGAATACATATTTATTATATATTTAATTGTATAAAAAACTATGTTTTCAGCAGAGCCAAGCAGTTTAAATACTTAGGGTTAGTACTAACTAAAAATAATGATATATAGATAAGAAAATTTGATAAAAATTATTAAAAAAAAAAAAAAAAAAAATGATACAAAATGTAATTTAAGTACCATACTTCTCTATTAATACAAATTACATAAACTAAATTGTAGTTAAAGTAAAATGATTATCGGCCCCGTTCCTATGTACGACTCATTTTTGTCCAATGAGCGACGTACACTTTTTTATGAACACTTAGACTTGGACCGGTGTCTTAATATCTTACTATTATCATACCTCAATGGTATTTTTTTATTATTTTTTTTTTATTAATATAAATCATTGTTATACAATATAATATAAATTACAATATAACAATTTTGATTAATTTACCCCATTAAGAAAGCTTGTGGCGGGGTAAATGAATTACAACACAATTTTTACTTAAAATTTAATAAAAACAAGTTAGATATAAACAGAAAATTAGTAAAATTAATAATTAAAATAGATTAGATAATACTGACTTATAGAACTGTAAATGCATAAGGTCCATAAGCTAATTTATTTAACAGTATAGTACATTTATAAGCTTTCTAATAAATACGCAAAAACAATTTTTTTATTACATAAATATCCATAATTTTTTCTTAAATTATTACAAATACTTTTTTTGATATCTAAAGACAAAGAATTGAAAATAGTTGGACCTAGTTAATCAACAAAATGTTTACCAAATTCTTTCTTTGTGAACCAAATCATAATGTCAAACGCTCTAATGTCACGTTTAGTTTCATTTTTCTTTTTAAAATTATTTGACGAAAACAGAATGGCAAATTGTTTATAAAGAGACTTTACTGGAAGTACTTTGAATTCTTTGTAGTTTTGTACTGTAGAACCTAAAAGTATTTTTTTATTTAAGCTTATTTGCACAATTCAATTTTGTTGTACTTCTAGTGGTCTTATTACATTCGCTGCACAGCCCCTTCATACTATCAATCCATACTGTAAGACAGACTTACACAACGCTTGGTAAATAGTACGCATTCGTATCCGTTGGGAAGATTTTATTTAATTTGTGAAATTTATAGATAATTGATCTTAAACGCATTACCAGACTCTCAATATGAACACTCCAGCGTAAGTTACTATCCATGATTAGACCTAAGTATTTTACTCTGTTTACCCTTGTAATTTTCTGACAGTTGGAACATCTCGAATCATCATTGCTACATGAGTGAATTTTAAGTTCATTTATTGGAAAATTGGGTAACTTTGTAATAGAAAAAGCAATAAAAACCGTTTTATTTATATTTAAAGACAGCTTTCTAATATTTAACTCTTTAAATATTCTGTTAAAACCTAGTTCAGCTTTGTATTTAACATTTTCCCATGTTGTACTAGAGAAAAGCAGGCAGGTATCATCTGCATAAGCAACTACTAAACCATCTAACCTTATATTACATAACTCATTTATATATAGAATAAATAAAATTGGGCCTAACACGCTACCTTGAGGAACACCATACTTTATATTTTTCTCATTGCTAAGAACACCATTAACAGAGAACATTTGTTTTCTGTCATCTAAGTAGCTTTTGAACCACGAATAACTTTCTTCATTATACCGTAATTAGGTAATATTTTCAATAAAATAGTGTGATCAACCGTGTCAAAAGCCTTTGCTAAATCTAAAAATATTGCAAGTACTTTTTCGTTATTGTCAAGTTTCTGGTATATAAATTGAGTTGTAAGATAAAGAGCTCCAGTTGTACTTTTGCCTGGCCTAAACCCAAATTGGTTTTTGGTCAGAAGATCATTTTGTTCTAAAAAGTCTATAAGTCTTCCTTTAACTATTTTTTCAAATATTTTCGAAAAATTACTGAGCATGGAGATAGGCTTATAATTTGATACATCTTCAACTTTACCTGATTTAAATAGAGGTTTTATTACAGCTAGCTTAAATTTATCAGGAAAAATACCTTGTATTAAACATAAATTTAAAATAAAAGCTAAAGGCTCACTAATAAAATTGGCAGTCTGTTTTAATAGTTTAACAGTTATCTTATCGAATCCCGAGGCTGTCTCATCTTTTAATTTATTTATAATGCTCGTATATAAAACTTCTGAACTTTTAATTGTATTGAATTTGGCTCTCCTTGATTTTTGAGGTGAATAGCCTGCTAATTTGTGTACTAGTTTTCTCAACAATGTCATTAGCATTGAAATGTAATGAACATACAAAAGCTACAACAACACCAACTCCTTTTATCTCGAGAAAAACTAAATATTTAATATCTGTTACCTTTATCTACATTTAATAGGTTTATTACTTTGAATTTGCAAAACCCATTTTTTTTTAATTCCTCATTTTTAGGAAATTTGTGAAGATGGATGTGTGGATTTTTGTTGAGACCTTTGCGCCTACTGCCACTTAAACATCCATCAAAAACACAAAGAGGCATTTTAAATTATATTTAAATAAACAAAATAATTATACTCTTTATACAGTCTTAATAGTTAATTATGCTCTACTTTAGTTCTATTTATTATATACATAATTTACAAACTAAAGTTTTGGCGGGCATATAATTTCCTGATAAGATATAATTTATAGCCAATCACAGGCGGAGAAAAGCTATCGCCATTTCTGCGCATTCCATTCATAAACTCGTATTTTGACATTATACCTATCTATTTTGTCATGATTAGACTGTTAACCCGAGTAGTTTTGACACAAAGATTGTACAATAGATATAAGCGTGGATCTAGAAATTATAAAGTAGTCGATTAATGCAAAAGGTCTAGTCAAATGTGGCTATGTACTCAATGCAAGAACGCTAAAAGTAGAAATTCGTTTTTAACTATCAACTTTTAAAAAATATTTATTTGGGGTTTCGGTTCTTACAAATTAAATGACTTATCTACAAGATAGGTAATAGGATAGCCTATAGGATAAGTCTATAGGTACCTACCTATAGACTTATTAACTATGTTTTAATATAAGTATAGCTAGAATATATTATATTATACATCATAATGCAAAAATATAGTGTTAGGCCACATCATATTATCTATGGCTTAGTTTTTTTTGTTTAAGTTTGAACTAAGACTTTTACTTGATCTCAACTCTGAAGTTCAAAACTCCTTCGTACGGCCTTATCCCATATAATTGGGGTCGACCAAGTTTAATCCTTATTTACATTAAATATTATTATTTTCAAATACAAGAAACTAATCTGATGTAATAATAAGAAAAATACCTAATTGTACACCCTTCGAGCTTTTAATATGGTCAAAGCTATTTTGTTAACAAACGTTTAATAAAAGAGGCCAATAACTAAATAATCTTAGAGGTAAAAAAAAGAAATTTTTTTAAATTTATGCTACCTACCTAATTTAAACTTTTATTTTTGAATAATCAAGTAGATATCTTGACAAAATAGTTAAGATTACAACTTAAGTATAATTTCGCATTATCGTCAGTTCTACTTGGGTATCGAACCTCGACCTTCGACCGAATCGTTTACAGTTTATACCAAGTAAAACGATTATTCCTTTTTAAAATATTTGTCCAAGAGGCGCATATTATAATTTTTTATCGCATATTACTTTTTTTCGAGCTCAAACCGTTTTTATTCACATTTAGTTTATTGTAATAGCAGTGGCGTACATTAAATCTTGCTCTGAAGGGGTTGTAAAAAAATAATACTACCTAACCTGATGTTTCAAAATGATAAACAATTTTTTTTTCCAACCAATTAAGTGATTTGTTGGAATATTTCTCCGAAAAAATTCGATAGTTCGATTTTAAGAAAAAACGAAATTTCTGGACTTATAGTTCCGAAGATAGTTTAGATAACATGATGAAGTGTAAAGTTATTTTTTCTAGCTATTTAGCTTAAATGAATTAAAATAAATATAAAACCAAAACAATAGTCAAAAATGTACAAAACACTTAATATTATTAAATTATTATTTATTATATTCATTCACTTCAAGTTCTAAATTTCTACAAAGAAGTAACATTGTAACAAATATACGATAAAAACCTATTATATATCACTTTTTCACAATTTTTTTTTTGGCTTTGGGGGGGGGGTGAACCCGACCCCCCCCCCGTAAGTACGCTACTGTGTAATAGATAAACATAAACGCATTTGAGGGGAATAAGCCCCCTAAGCTTCTTTTCTATTTTCGCTTATACATATACTCTATAAAGATAATAAGTAATAACTATACCTACAGTATAGCTATTTAAGTACCTATTTAAATCCATTTTCTCGTGTTACAAAAGTAAGAATCGTTGACTGTGCTCGAGTTTCGCGGCTACTGGTCGGCTATTGGAGCTGAAAAATAATTATCCATCTTTCCAATATACACGTCTACAGTTTTTACGCATTCATTTTGAAAAGAAACGAAAATGAAAAAACTCAAGTAACTTTTTTTTGACTCACACTGTATACAACACCGTAGACGCCGCCGTCTCATCCCCCTTCCACGTCACCACTATACCATTTTTTTTTTGCTGGTGGGGAAATATTGTCGTCCGTCTCCGCGGCGTATCTACCGAGTACCGAGTGCTGCCGTCATTGAAACAAAATCGCGTACTGAGATATAGTACAGTGTACACACACGGCTGCAAATGTTTATCATGCACGGGCAGCAGTTGTTGATTGCGACGGATTCTTGAGTGATTCGTCATCGTTTTGTCGCCGTACGTCCGACGGAATCGCGTTAAAAAAAAATAGGAAGTACACAAAAAACCAATCCTAAACTCGACCTTCGTGTATCGATACTAATTAATCACAAAAATACAACAATATAGTGCGCCAACAGATTATCAGGCCGCCAGACCGGATTTTTGGATACACTACCATAAAGTGAGTGCGACGTCGTTGGCTTTTTATTTTTAAAACTTCGTTTATTTTTTTTACCGCCCAAGGACCCTGACCCTATTTTTGAGCTTTTGCCCTTTTTCGGACCGTTCGTTTCTCTATTCTTATTTTTACAAGGCCTTATAACCCTTAACTTAGCAAAAATTGTCCGTTCTATGTGGACACTACCCTTATTAATAGCTTGTCTCCGCCAGGGTTACGATATGTTTTAGCTACGGTTTCTTCCAAAGGAAACTACTCACTAATCGACGATTTCATAGACTAGATATTACTCCTCGACAGCTTTGTCAATTTGATTGCAAGTATTCAGTACTTGCACACAGTCATTGCTTTATCAAAAGGTAATGTGTCATAGTTTTCCTTATATGGCCAAAATGCCAAGGTATTCCCGGAAATCAATACTGTTTAGGGAAATCTTATAAAGTTATGCACTACTAATATAAATAAATAATTTCCAATAAGTTATGATGAGTGTTACACATTTATTTTTCACTAATATTGCTTAAGAGGTGTTTAAATTGTTACTCTGACACAGTAAAAGAAGTAAGTAATATTTCCATTTTGGGAAGTGAATTAATTAAAGATAAACCCAACATTTTAATTTGTTTACAATTAGGGCGTAGCTAGATAAAATTTAATTTAAACTACGAAAATAAAAATGTGTATCACATCAATAGTTAATATAAATATCAAATATTATATTCACATTCTAATAGTTTCCGTATTACTCTTGTAAGAAATAATTAATTGATATTTAAAAATTTTTTTTAGCTCATAAACTATAAATATATGTACTCATCTCATAAGAGAACTGTACTGTGTAAAAACCAAAACGTGTCGTCACTTATGTCTCCACAGGCACATATAAAGGTAAATGTGTTTTGGTTTCTGGGCAGTACCAGTCTCTAGTGAGACAGCGTATAGTTTTCAATTTTTTTTTTTTAATTTGTAAAAAAAAAATATTTAACTCCCATGGCACCACAATATTTATTAGGCCTGATTAAATATATTACCTACAATATTATTTTTAAAAAATGTGATTAAGCTTAGTACATAGAAATTAGATTACTTCCAATTGCATTAAATCTGTATTTAGAGATTAAAACTTAGTCTTACTAATATATAAATTATATTTATTAATTGCAGATGGCGACACTTTCCTTGAGGATATCAATAGTTGAACGAAATGTTACTAAGACTATGCAATTTGACCCAACAACTTCGGTATATGACACGTGTCGACTAATAAGAGAAAAAATTTCAGAAGCAAACTTAGATCAACGTAAATAATAAAATAATATAAATAAAAGTTGTTATTGATTATCTAATATTTAAATATGTATGATAATTCCAAGTGTAAAAAGTGCCTAGTTATTGGAACATTTGAATTATGAAGTTAAATAATAATTAATCAGTTGAGTTTTTTCAGACTAACAGTTTTTATTCAAATATTTTTTTTCGAGTAACATCACGCTGCTTAATAAATATTTTATTGTTAATGACTTTACATTGCCGTATTAACATTATTATAAAACACATTATACTAAGTAAAATATATCCTTTTTGTTTTATTTCAGCTAAAGATTATGGGTTATTTCTTGCTGACGAAGATGTTAAAAAAGGAGTATGGCTAGAACCTGGACGCAACTTAGAATATTATATACTAAGAAATGGGGTAAGCTGATTTTCCTTATACTGTGCTCATTGAAAACATTAATTATTTCAAATAAAGCTTAAAACTATTATCTAAATACTTGTTTTATATGTAAAAAAATATTAAACCAGTAAAAGAATTATCTAAAAGTACAATTAATTCTTTTTCATTGAGCTACACAGTACACATCTAACCCCTTTATTTTCAATTGAACCGGTTATTTCAAAAACATCACATGTAATATTTACATGGTTTTGATTTTAAAACGAATTCTTGTAGAGTATTCCTAGACGTATATTTTGATGTAAAAACAATACATCATGTATCATTAAAATAAATTAAGAAAATATATTCGAAAATTCAGTGTAAAGCAGAAATTACGTGTAAAAAATATTGTTTTTTTCTCTTATAATTAAACAAATGTTACATGTGTTGTTTCTGCAATAACCAACCAGTTTAGTTAAAATATTATATTATATTATAAACATTTTTTAAACACAATTTAAATGTAAGTAAAACTATAACTGATTCCATTATTCAAATATATTTATTTTTTAATGCCTAATACAAGTTGATATAAACATTATTTGAAAAAAATGTCACAAAACAATGATTTTGTTAAAAGTTTTAAAAAAAAGTAACAAAAATTAATTTTTGTAATAATATTAATGAAAAGTGAAACATAACATTATACTCTTAGTATTAAATTGTTTGGACATTTTGTACCAAGTATTACAATTAAAGGTAACATTAAATTATTCTTAAAAATTGTTTAATAAATTACAGGATTTGCTGGAATACCGTAAAAAAATGAGGACATTAAAAGTACATATGCTTGATGGCACAATAAAAACACTACTTGTTGACGACAGTCAACCTGTGGCTAACCTGATGGTGGTTATATGTACAAAAATTGGTATGTGTTTAATAATAAAAATGTTATTTTGTTTGTACTTGTATAATACATTTGCTACTATATTTTAGGAATTACAAATCACGATGAATACAGTCTTGTTAGGGAGAATCCAGAAGAAGAAATAGAAAATAAAGCAAATTTTGGTACATTAACTCTTAAAAGAAGGAAAGAAGATCGGGAACGCGAAAAAGATGCTAAAATGGAACAGTTGCGTAAAAAGTTAAAGACTGATGATGAAGGTAATATTCAGTATTTGTATTGTTAAAAGAAAAGGTAATACAATATTTGATTAAATTGGAATCAATTGGAATATATAATTACCTACTAAATGTACAAACCTTACCTTAAAGTGACCGAAATATTGACATTCAGTAAGCGTAGGATAAAGTTAACTGAATGTCAAGTTTACCAAACAAAATTTTGTATCAATAAAATCGTAATTGAAATAATTTAGTTTTAGATTTTTTATTGTTATACAATCAATCTGTATTGTGTTAATGCGTTCAGATACTACCTATACATTTCTTCGTTTTATATTTGATAATCTTGTTACAAAGTTGTGATTATTACTATATTATCTTCATTTTTCCCATAGTAAATTAAAATATTGGAATAATTATTTGAATTACTTAATTAAAAAGGTAAAAAAATTAGGCTTAATATAAAAATTCTTACTGTTTTTGAATCTCAAGTATTTGTTACAATTTTAATATACACCATTCAAAAGTACCCATTGCTTAATTTTATATTATTATTTACTTTTATAGTAAACTGGGTTGATCCATCTAAAACATTGAGAGAGCAAGGTATTGACGAGAGTGAGCCTGTATTATTAAGGAGAAAATTCTTTTTCTCTGACGGTAACATTGATTCTCATGATCCAGTTCAATTAAATTTATTATATGTCCAGGTACATGTGTATGACTAAGAAACTCGTATTATAAAAAAACATTTGTCTAAAATAAACTAATTATTTGTTATTTTTAAGGCACGAGATGCGATATTAGATGGAACACATCCAGTAACCGAGGACCTTGCTTTGCAATTAGCAGGAATTCAAACACACATTCAGTTTGGAAACTACTGTGAAACTAAACATCGACCTCCATTTTTAGAGTAATATTTCAAAATACATAGTATAGAATGAATTCATTGGTTTTTTTAAGTTTAGTACATTGATTGACTAATGTATACAAATATTTATTTCTATATTTTTAGTCTAAAAGAATTCCTCCCACAGTCCTATATAAAAGTAAAAGGGATAGAGAAAAAAATCTTTGTGGAACATAAAAAACATGTAGGTTTGTCTGAGCTGGACGCCAAAGTGTTTTATACGAAAACAGCACGATCATTGCCTACATATGGTGTAACGTTTTTCTTAGTAAAAGTATGCTCAACATTTATTAATTTACTTACTTTTTTAGGTTTATAAAATTCTTTATTATAGTTTTTGTTGTTGTAATTTTAGGAGAAAATGAAAGGAAAAAATAAACTAGTTCCTCGCCTGTTGGGTGTAACCAAAGAATCAGTTTTACGTTTAGATGAAAGAACCAAAGAAATTCTTAAAACTTGGCCTTTGACAACTGTACGTCGTTGGGGAGCTTCACCCAATACGTTTACATTAGACTTTGGAGACTATTCTGATCAATATTATTCAGTACAAACTACAGAAGCTGAACAAATTCTTCAGCTAATATCTGGTTATATTGATATAATTTTGAAAAAAGTAAGCTATTAGGTATAATTATGACCAACTGTTTTAACTCATAATTTATATACTTATAGAAAAAGTCAAAAGACCATTTTGGTATTGAAGGAGATGAAGGTTCAACAATGGTCGAAGACAGCATTTCTCCACTGAAGTAATTTTTAATCAACTCATATCTAATTTTTATTTTTTGAAACAAATTAAACCAATCAAGTACAGTTTATTAATGTGACATAAAATATATTTCAGAGCAACAATTTTGCAACATGAAAGTAGTCAGTTTGGAAAAGTAAACACTGAATCGGTGGCCAAACCTGCTGTTATAAGAGCTGGAGCTGAAGGTAATTGCAGTACTACTTTATGACATTAATATAAATAATGCACACATACAATATACATTTAATAACTAAAAAGATAAATATAATATTATGTAGTAATGAGCTTAATATTAACATATTTCTAGTTTTTTATATAGGCTTATATAATGCTTTTCGAGGACATTATAACATTTAATTTATTTTGCAACAAAATGATTATTTATTACACTATAAATGTATACAAATTATATGATAACAAATGTAATAGTTCACTTAGCTTTCTAATAACACCATATCACTGAATATTAACCATTATAATTTGATATTTTCTGCAGCTCTAAATTTTTTGTAAAATGTATTATAATTAAGTATTTAATGACCAATTAATATGGAAAGTTTTTATAAAATTATTATTGTTATGTTACAAAACTAACATCTGTTTATTATATCATGCACATGCACCATATCAAACATTGATTATATATCCTCTCTTTTACACCATAGATATTTATATTTTTACATTTTGTTACATTGTTAACACAAAATATAAATTATGTAACTTTTATTGTTGAACTACTCACATCCTACTTACAATTTTTAAGTATTTCAGTTTTTTGATTATTGCGACAGTTATTTGTGAATAAAAAATAAGTACTTACAAGTTTCTTCCAAGTTAGAAAAAACCATGTTAGGTATACAGATTTTCAATATTCATTATTTGTTATTTATAATACATAGGTAATAATACAATTGTTTCTTTCTTAAAATATGTGACACTGTTCAAAAATTTGTTATTGCTCGTGATAATTTAGTAATTCAGCAAAAGGTCTATCCATTTACTAGTATTCAACACACTGAGAAAGAACAATATGTTTTATTCAGGAGTTATAGATTACTGCAAGGCATCATCTTTTGTAAATTTACACTGTGTTGGAGACCAACTGGATATCTTAAGGTAATTGGATCTATACCCCATTTTTGAGTTTACTTTATTTAACCATTCCTATTTGGTTTTTTATTACTTTTAGTCTGTTACCCTCTTCATCTGATCATTATTTTTTTCTTGTAGGATATATTTTACCAAAATCTTATGTAATATCTATCATCTCATTGATATGTATGTTTAGGTTTTACAGTTTTATGTAAATTGCATGATTTTATTTGGTTTGTTGTTATTATATTATTTGTGTTTATATACCTGTAGTAAAATAATAGCATGTTTGTCTTATGCCATTAATTCATTTTAACGAATAACAAAAAAGTTAGATTTTGATGCTTTAAAGTAGTTTTTTCTCTCATCATATTGTAGTGGTTGTCCTTATAATTAGTCTTCTACAACTATTAGTTCAAACATGTTAAAATACTTAAATACGGTTTATATTTATATTTGTTACAAATTAAGTTAATACTATAATAATTTGATGAATATAATTAAAAATATGTAGTGAAATCCTTTAAGTAGTTAAATTTTACCTGTTTTGCTGAATCTCCATTTTAAAAATTTGTTTATTAATTTAAATTGTATTATTAAGGAGCAAAACCATATGGAATGGGGCATGTAGGCAGTACTCAATACACGACTGTCAGTGGTCAAATAAACATTTCACATACACCATATGTAGTAAGTAAATATATTAATTTGATAGTTTCACTTTTAATTATTTGTGTTTCCGTTTAAGGCACCACAAAATAAGCAAATCAAAGTATTGAATGCACCTCAAAAAGCTCTATGCCAGACTATATCTGATAGTCAAGAAATCATAACAACTATTGAAAAAGAATTATTCAACAAAGTAGTCATTCCCGAGTTTGGTAACGATCCTGTAAGCAAATATTTTTTTCATCAAATAGCCTGTCGTAATTAAGTTGATAAAATTAATTACAATTATTTATTTAAAACTTATGTAGGCTTCAACTAAACTGAAAGAAACGACTATTGACTCAAACAAGCAAAACATCAGTGCCCAAATTGCAGCCATGAACGCTGCAACAGCCCAAGTAGTGACGTTGACTTCTGGTAATTATTATTATTTATGCATTAATTGTGTAAATATTATTAGGTTACAATATTTAACTTTTTTTTTTAGGGGAAGTTGATTATTCGAGTGTTGAAAGAGCTATTACATCGATCACTACTAATTTACCAGAAATGAGTCAAGGTGTAAGAGTATTAGCTGCACTCACACCAACCGGTGACCATTTATTAGATGCCGCTCGTAAACTATGTTCTGCGTTTTCTGAACTTCTGAAAGCTGTTCAACCAGATTCAAATACTGTTAGTATATATATGCTACACACATATTTAGTAATAATAATCAAAAATCACTAATTATTCAAACTAAATGTCTATAGTCACGTCAAAATCTCCTGAATGCGGCTAGTAGAGTGGGCGAAGCATCGCAACAAGTACTAACCCAAATCGGAGATGACACTGCTGACGAATCTCGAGATATATTGTTGAGTTTAGCTAAAGCAGTTGCTAATACAACAGCTGCACTTGTGGTCAAAGCCAAAAATGTAGCAGCCACAGTTGAACCACAACATCAGTCTCACGTTATTAGTGCTGCCACTACATGTGCTCTTACTACATCACAGCTGGTGGCGTGTACAAAAGTCAGTAAAACCTATCTCGTGCTATTTCTAAATTATCTATAATGCGTTTTTTGTAAATTAGGTGGTCGCCGGTACTGTGGAGAATCCGAGTTGTAAAGAGCAATTGATGGCAGCCGCAAGAGAAGTGGCAATAGCTGTCGAAGACCTAGTAGCAGTATGTAACTTATCACAAAATGACCAAAACAGACACTTGCTACAAGACTTGTCGGAAGCTGCTTATCAAGTGACAACAACGTTAAATCAATTGCTGAATAGACTTCAGGATGCTTCTAGGTATGTGTGATCACATTGTAATATTTCAATAGTTTGGTATTTTGAAAATGGTTTTTGTTTGTTTAAGGGCTGTTGGTGAAAGTCTAAGTAATTTGGTTGACATTGCAACTTCACCGGTGAATAAGGCAAAAAGATATAACACTGAGAAAACCTTCCAAATCCACGAATATTCCAACAATTCAAATGACACTGGTTTTATTGATCAAAATAATTCTTCATACAATTCAATTGGTTGGTAGTAAAATTAAAATGGTTATAATTTTATAATAACGTCGTCTATTATATCTAGGAGAAGACAAAGTAGATGTATCAACTCTAAACAAGCGGTATGAATATAATCATGATACTCACATCAATGATCAAAATTATGGATATTATAAATCTTCTCATGATTATCAATTGCAAAATTCCCTGACTGAAAATGAAAAACAACTAGTATGTTATAATTAAAAAATCTTTCGTTTTATAAAAAAGTACCACAAATTAAGTTAAAATAAAAAATGTATTTATTTATTTAGATTATTCAAAAGTTGTCGACAAGTGGTGCTCGTGGTACTCAAGCATGTATTAACGCTGCTAGTACAGTGTCTGGAATCATTGGTGATTTAGACACTACAATTCTTTTCGCAACTGCTGGAACACTTCATGCTGAAAACGAAAACGAAACGTTTTCTGATCACCGTGAAAATATTCTTAAAACTGCTAAGGCTTTAGTGGAAGACACTAAAACTTTAGTTACTGGTTAGTGTAATTGTATTACAATTTATTTTCAAACATTAGTTTAGAGTAACATATTAAAACATTTCTTTTTGTTTTTAATACTTTTTAGGCGCAGCTTCTTCTCAGGAACAATTAGCAGTAGCTGCTCAAAACGCAGTGTCAACCATAATACAATTAGCTGAAGTAGTGAAATTCGGCGCAGCATCTTTAGGTGCTAACAATCCAGAAGCTCAGGTATTTTATTTTAATAACACCTAATTTTGTGAACTTAGTATTTACATTCACTATAATCATTCTAGGTTATGTTAATCAATGCAGTAAAAGATGTTGCAACCGCACTAGGAGATTTAATACAAGCTACTAAAGCAGCTTCCGGAAAGAACATAAATGATCCTTCAATGAATGAACTGAAAGATAGCGCAAAAGTAAAGCTTGTTGATAGCATACCTTACATTTAGTAGTATATTTATCGAGAAAAATTATTAAAATATTATTATTTTTATTTTTAAGGTTATGGTTACAAATGTTACTTCTCTATTAAAGACTGTAAAAGCAGTTGAAGACGAACACACGCGTGGAACGAGAGCTTTGGAATCCACTATTGAAGTAATTGGTCAAGAAATTAGAGTAAGTTAGAATTTTATTTATAGTGTATTGAAGAAAATTGATTAGATGCATTAGATAATTTAATATAAATTCTTCAGGCTTTAAATTCACATGAAGTTTATAAAACAACAACAACAGTAGAAGACTTAGTACGAAGTACTAAACCTATTACAATGGCCACTGCCAAAGCAGTTTCAGCTGGTAACAGTGGAAAACAAGAAGACGTTATTGTTGCTGCTAATATGGGACGTAAAGCCATTTCTGATATGTTGACTGTTTGCAAGGTAACTTAAAATATATCAATTTTGTGGAATTGCGTTCTTTGTATTTAATGTATTTGGTGTGTTTAGGGTTGCAGTAACTCTATTGAAAATTCTGAACTAAAATCTAGAACACTGCAAGCTGGACAAAATATTGCCCTAGAATATAGGAAATTGTTACAAACAGTACTACAAATCGTATCAAAACCCAACTCTAGTACTGAAAACAAACAATTGCTACAAACAATTTCTCGTATGATCGCACAGTATGTTACAGAGTTAATTTCTGTTACTGAAATAATTAAAGGTGATGCAATTTTTCTTTCAGTTCTACTCCATTAGTTGGTCTACATTTTTTTCTGTTGAATTTATAGGTAACGACTGGGTGAGTCCTGAAGATCCAACAATAATTGCCGAGAATGAGTTGCTTGGTGCTGCTGAATCAATTGATGCTGCTGCTAAGAAGCTTGCCAGCTTACGGCCTAGAAGATCAGTCAATGAAGTAAATCAGCTAAACTTATTGACCTATCATAATACTTTATAAATTTGTAATATTTTTAGGAAATGGCCGATGCTACTTCAAACTTTGATGAAGTTATACTAGAAGCAGCTAAATCTATTGCGGCTGCCACATCTGCTCTTGTGAAAGCAGCATCAGCTGCACAACGTGAACTTATCGATTCTGGAAAAGTAAGTTTTACAAAAACATCAAATATGTTAAAATTGAAGCAAAAAATCGAAATGTTCTTTTTAAGCATTTACGTCTAAACACACTATGCTATCTTTTAGTTTCAAATGTGTATGCTAAAGTTTATTCCATTCTTTAACAATTATATTTGGTTTTTTTTTATGAAGCTGTTGTTGCATTCAGAGTTCAGATTAAATATCAATTTGAAATTCAATTCCTTATCTACTGTATTCATATTCATATTTAATATATTAAAAATAGGTTAGCCGAAGACCACTAACAAGTTCAGATGACGGCCAATGGTCTGAAGGCTTAATATCTGCTGCTCGTTTAGTTGCTGCGGCCACTCACAGTTTGGTAGAATCTGCTAACTCTCTTGTCCAAGGAATATCTAGTGAAGAAAAGTTGATATCTTCGGCCAAGCAAGTTGCTTCCTCTACCGCACAGTTGCTAGTATCTTGTAAAGTAAAGGCCGATCCTGATAGTAGTTCAACTAAGAGATTATTGGTAATTTATGTCGACAAATTGATGTTAGAAAAACATAATAATAAAAACAATATAACTATGATTTTAGGCTGCTGGCAATGCTGTAAAGCGTGCCACTGATAACCTGGTGAAAGCCGCACAACAGGCAATCCAAAACGATGAAGAAAGGAGTTTAGTTCTTAGCAAAAAAATGGTGGGCGGTATTGCTCAAGAAATCAACGCTAGGTAATAGTTTAAAAAAGACAAAATGTTAATATTAGTGAAATGTATTTATTTTTAATTTTCAATAGATCTGAAGTTTTGAGGATCGAACGTGAACTAGAGGAAGCCAGGCAACGACTGGTTGTTATAAGGCAAGCAAAGTATAAGGCAAAGGGAGATGGAACAAGTCCAACTGAAATGGAACATGAATCATCATTCGATCAGTTTAATAGGTAACAGATAATTGCTTATAACTGTATTGATAACATTATTATTGATATTATATCTAATTCAGCTGTGTGTGTTATTAATTTTAATCTTAAAGTAGTTTATATTTGTAATAACTCAATTTTAGTTGACCGTGAGTAGTAATTCATTGATCATTCATCAACGTGAAGTTGAAAATATTTTTGGCTTGAATGTAGCGTCAATATTAAATTGTTGGTAGCAATTGCATATAAATAAAATCTAATGGTCAAGTGTTACTGATTTTTAAAAATTTAACTGGCTGTGCTTTAAAACAAAATAAATTTTAATATTATAATACTCATAAAATGTATTTGATAATATACTTCAGTAATTAATTTTCCTATTGTGAATTAATTTTTAAAAAGTTTTTATTACACAAGGTAATAAGGAATTAAATGATTCATACTTTAAATTTGTTTAAGCCCAAAATTTATTTATGAAAGTTATTTAAACAAATTTACACAAGTACACAAATAATAGTGATTTTACTTTACTTCATTACTTTTGCTGTGTTGAAGATGTTTAATTGAGTCATAAAATATAATGACAAACTCGTTGTTCGCGATGAATATAATTGCCAAATAGTATGTTAACATAATAATGGGAAAATAACCTTCATCGTTTTGTAGAATCGACCACAATTTGGATATGTGCGAAGATTTTCAGTCAAATGCATATGATGTTTACAAGTTGAACAACTCGAGCGAGGATACTAGTATTAGCTCTTTTAACGAAACATTTCATTCTGGCACAAATAAATTATATTCGTACTCAGGTATTGTTTCTATGGAAATCGTCCTCAACAGATGATATGATATGAATCACTTGAAACCTTCACGGCACTATACATGAATTTATATCTATCGGCCACTTCCTTCGCACCTGCTCTGCTGTTAGCTAGACATTGAAATTTTATCAAGTCGTTGCCCAATTACTAGCATTACCTATCTTGTTCTTTGCTTAAAGCATTATATAATCTATTATTATTCCACTGTGAAGTTGATTAAGAGGGTGAAATGACTCACAAATTATAATTAGCTTTAAGAAAATTAAAAACAATCAAGTTTATTTTGCTTTGCCCCTTGGTGTAGTATAACAATATTATGCAAACTTATTATAAATATTGTTAACAAGTTACTATTTGTTAAGATAAACAGCTCTGCGTTATATTGTCTACTCTGCTTACAAATCTCTAATGATTATTGTCTTCATTTTTTACAGCTTTATCATAGTTTTATTTTAGTTAAAGCTATATTTATTTTTGAAGTAGTAGCAATGATGGACGCTGTGGACTATGACTATATTCGAATATTTTAATTTCAAAAATCTTATCATACCAACTATTGTTTCTATGCTTTTTATAATTAAAAAAAAAAATTGCAAAATGCGTGTCTTAAAAACAAAAATTGTCATACCATCCACAATCGGTCCATCTTATTATATCTTATTGTATCAGACACTTAGTACTTATTTTATCTTCTTAAACAAATGCTAAAGCTGTCGCGCTATTTACCGCTTTAAGAGTTAACCGATTAATTTGTGGTTGTTTATTTAATTTTTACTTTTTTTAGGCTCGAACCACAACAATGTATGTAACATGAGTACTACGTTTGAGAATACCATCAAATACAACTGTTCGACTACGATCAATACAACTACTAAGTCCTATACCGTGAACGAGTGAATAGTCGTAATGCAGTTATTCCAGTTTCTTATTACACTTGCAGACTAATAGTGTTTCAGTATTCAGTAAAGAAGTAGAGAACAAATTAAAAACTCGATTAAAAAATAGATAAAAGTAAATAATTTTAAAACCAACATTTTATAACAATTGGGACAATCGTATTGAAAATGTATTATCTTCTTTACTTTGTTTTTATTTGTATTCAAAATTGATTATATGTACTGTTAAAATTATTCTTTTATTTAACTTGATTACTTTTTTTATTATTGCTTAACATGTTAGTTCCTAACAATTTCATTATACATAAAAATTAACGAAATTAATATTTTCGCATTAGCTGTTTGTTTTGCTTTGTGCTGCACATTGTGAGTGTGTGTGTGTTATTACTATACTCCATCAATATTTATATACAGTACAGACAAAATGGTTTATTATTATTATTAATAGTATTATTGTGTTTTTCACTCCCCTCTAAATTCTAGTCAAAGTAATATAATTAATTATCTAGATTTATTATTGTCGATTTAACGTCCAAAACTATGTACTTTCTAAATAATAAAAAACTACATGTTTGTCTTAACTAATTTTTATCTAAAAAATGAGTTATAAATATCTTAACTTATAATTTTTCATATTGAATACTACAATATCATTCATTGAATTAAATATTAAAGAATTAAAATAAATGTATTCTTAACAAATTGTTCAAAATTGTTCAAAAGACTTATTATAATGAAAATGAGCCAAACTTTTATTTATATATTTTTCAAATTTCCACTGTAATCAATATTATAAATGTGTACTTAGTGTAAGTATTATTTAGTTGAATCGTTTTTAATTTGTATTTGAATTGTTTATTTATTTATTTTTACTGTACTTACTACGAAAACGGTATTACAAATTATATATATTTTGAATTCATTACTAATGTTTTATGTAGATAATAATACGAACCGCGTCATAAATATGTTGATTGTATGAATATTTAAAGTCTAATGTGGAGATAAACGTATGCATGTTATTCGTTAAACTGCATATGAGTACAATTATTTTCATAGATTTTATTATTATAGCTTAATTTTTTTTTTTTTTGTGAGATTATTTTGTAAAATTTTGTATAACAAATCTTAATATGGTATTCTTTGTTCGTTTTTTTTCATCGTCTTCATTTGTTTTACTGCCATAAAAACGTTGACATCGAATGTGCGATCTACCTTAAGACGTATTAATTAAATACATTTTATCACCTAGTACTCACTTAACTAATATAATATATTTTTATTTATTTATTTATTTATTTACCAAGTGTGTACTTATATTATAAATAGATAATATTTGGTCAATACATTTTATTTTTGTATTTCATTCATATTAACATTGTTATTAATATCTAATTGTCAACACTACAAGCGTTGACAAGATTGAACAGCAATAATGTATAAATAAAAAAATATATATATATTATTACCTAAATGTTCATTGATTTGATTTTTGTTTTTTTTTTTTTAAAGAGTTTAGTATGAAAATAATACAACAGTTAGCGAATATCATAATTATATGTCGTGTAATTGTAAACAAGTAATGACAATAATAAAGGATTATTTGATCCTGTAGTATTTATAGTAATAATAATGTACAAGACATGTCGGTCAGTGTACATATACGTAGACCAGATACGATATGGTTAGGAATAGTATTTGTACGGCCCACGATTGATCAATTCTGCCCGCCTTGTTACAGTTGTCTTCCTCGCAGAAACACATATGACCTGTGCCCGTACCCTCCATCATGCAAACGTGATCCACCATGAACAAATTGATTTGCAGCTGAGACGTGCACGTTCTCTTGATACTTTCATACGCTTAAAAATAAAAAAAAAAAATAAAAAGATTACCTAATGACGTTAGAAGTGGTGAAAATAGGTACTAATATTGGTTGTACAACAAAGGAAAAGACTGGTGCAGATTCTTAATACTAAAGCGCTCTCGTCGTAAGTTTGTAAGACCCGTTTCATGTTTCTCGGTACTTGCTTCGGGCTATAGTATTTCCTTTTGTACCTACTGAGAAATAGGAGTAGTATCACGGCTATAATCTATATTGTTCCTGCATCTGTCATTCTACTGGTATTGCAAGGCGTAAGTAGGTAGGTGGGTATGCCGTTTCGAGAAACCTATAAACTCAAAGATCAAAGCTGTAAAGTGTAGCACATGTGTAGAAATATGAGTTAAATGATTATAATACTGTGAATTCGAGTTGTATATTATGAGTAGAAAGTGACAGGAGAGACGGACGGCTGCGTTTGAGTGAAACCCAGAATTCTAGTCAAAAACAACAGCTCTGATTGATAAAACTGTTTTTTCTTCTTCAACTTTTGTAGGTGTACAGAGGTGTCTTTATTAAAGAATTATTTATTATTCAATAAAATATTACACGTTGTTTACAAGTAAAATACAAGAAATTCTGCGTAAGTACGTTTCTTACAAAATGTACAAAAGTTGGCCATAGTCAAACCGTCCGTTTTGACTTTTTACTACCTATTATTATCACTTCCTTATGCCAATTTATTATATGGTACTTACATGTTTTTACAAACCGCACCATTTTCACACAGCACCCGTTACAGCTAACCAACGGCGGTTGATCTTGAGGCATTGCTGTGTAGTTGAACGGGTCTTTGCATCTTGGATCCTTGGCGCTGTCGCATTCGTAACAGTAGATCGACCGCGCTAAAACGCCAATTTCAACGATATTCTTTATTAAAAAAAGGAGTATAAGACAATAGTGTTTTGGGAGAGGTCAGCTTAGGGAAGGCTGTTGTGGACGTTTCGGCGGCATGTCACATTACTGTGTATTTTGCTAAGTCGTCAGTTAGATGATAAATCAATATGCTTACACAATGCCTAATACCATAGCTACCATTTTATCTATTAAGCGCTTAGCGTTAGAAGAGTGCAATATTATCCGTTTACCATTATCCTCTTTGCTTTCAACTCGACCAAACCACTTAGCGCCACTTCCAAGCTGGCTCTTTTATACTCATTCCTTATTCTGTCCAACCTAATCGTTGCACGCATCCATCTCAACGTTATCGTTATAGTGGCCCGGCGAACGGATTATCAATAATCTCGACTTTGGGTTGAACATTAACACAGCATAGTATAATATTAATTGTAAGGTCCTCACGGTATTAGACATTGCTCGTTTACGCGTCTTAACGGCGCATCGCAATGACCTCGTACCAGCGCATGTGTGCTAAGTACGAAATAATTGAAAATGTTTCGTTTGGCTTACACGTTGGAATAAATTGCGAGGTTTATCAAAAGCGTTTGGTGATCAATATTGTCTTTTCGCGCGTAATAATAAGTACTTTCTAAGCTACCGTTTTGGCTCGTAAGCTTTATATTAATTTCAGTAAAAGGGATTCACTTGTGCACGGACGGATGAGCAAACAAACGAGACGTCTAACGAGTTTGTACGCAGCCACGAGTCGGCGGCTTAGACTTACACACAAATTTCAGCAAACTTCCAAGAACCCGGTTCGCTTCGACAAAGTTTCCGCGAAAATACCATCTAGTCATTAAGTGCAAATTAACCGACGCCAGATAAAGGTAAAGTCCTTTCCCTTTGGCACCTCCCAATACAAACACTAAGTCTGCCAAAGCTATAGGTAGGTTCAAAGCCGATCGGATGCGTAAGATTACCTTGGTGTTTTTAATGAGTTTACCCACAGTTTTTATTATTATTATTGAGATTTCGTTAATTAAACATTATACATCGACAATTACAATAGTGAACGTTATTTCGTGTTATTGTAGATAGAATATATAATGTACAGCAAGACGAGACTGTTTATCAATACTACCGAAACTATCTTAAAGAATGTAATATTATTAAAAATACTAATAGCGGCACCTAGGACAAACAACAGAATATAAAACAATGTTATCGAACGACAAACTATGTGCGGTGCGTTGCTGATAGTAAGCTAACAAGAAAGTAACTGTAGAAACAAAGAGTAATGATCATGTTCATCAGCCATTTATGCAAAAATAATAACACCATTTTTTTATTTTGGTGGTTGGCGGGTGGGTGTAAAATATACGTTTCCTCAGAAGTTTGTGTGGAGTCCGGCACCATTGACACTGGGGGACAACTGGTAGCTTTCATGTGTCGTTTCCTAGAACACTCTCCTAGTAGAGAATTCTGTTAGATGAAAGTAACAGTTCCCAATGGAATTTCGGGAATAATGGTGTCGTGTGAGGGATTCGTTGCGACTATCGTGTTGATTCTAGACCGGACAACAACGCAGAACCTATTTAAGCATTGTTTGAGACCACTGGAAAAACTTTACCTTGGTAAGCCGAGCACTCGGTACTTATCGTTTGCACGACACCGGGCAAGAAGATGACGAGCACAACGATAGATCCGAGGTTCTTCATCGGACCGGCTAATACGGCGAGCGGTCGCTCATAATATTATAAAAAATAATAATATTATGATTTAACGTGCAAACGTGACGATTAGGTGCGATAATATTTTTTCGGTGTGTTTTTTCCGGTTTTGTTTTTCGAATACAGAGAGATAGAGAGCTTTGCGCGTCGGTCCTATACAGATATAATAAATATGTAATTTATTTCCTGCTACATGTCTGCAGCAACGACGTGTGGATTATCGGAAGTGCATGTTATATGCGTACTTGATAATCCGTTAAGACTATACAACGGCGGCGGCGGAGGCGGTACGGCAAATAGGCTTATAATAATAATAATTTATATAGTACCTACATCACAATTTATTGACTTACAGTGTGTACCTAAATTGGCCATAACACAGATTTATTACAAAACCAGGCATATCCGACAGAACCGGCTGGCAGCCCAAATGATTATTGACACACTGTATAATAAAACATATTTTATACAGTATAATGTGTTATGCATACACAACACACTTGGTTTAAATACATCAGGCGAACGTGTCAAACGTGTCAAAACGATGGTTTAACATTATTTTACCACAGGACGAGCCATAGGCCATTGATTGGACAGTAATAAATCGTTTATTTATATAGAGAGCCCAGTTCAAAGCTTAATAATTACTAAGGATTAAAATCCGAACAAATACCCAATTTTGGAGCATTTTGATTAAAATAATTTTAGAAAATCTATTTATACTAGGAACAATAAGCACTATATTAAATTGTAGACGAATTAAATTTAAAAAAAAACAGACCTATTTTTTATTGAAAATGTTTATAGTTTCAAAGTAATACAAAACTAGTAATATTATATATGTTGGCTCGGGTCTTTAAAAAACCTGTGATGACTGTGATAGTTTATAATATTTATTAAATTGAATCTCAAACTCTCTAATCCTAATTTTTCAGTAGAGACAAAAAAACGATTTTATAACCTAAATAAATTATGGTAGTGTAATTATTTCTATAATATTTTGTCAATTTCTTAGAAAATGTTTTTAATAAAAAATATATTTTTTTGAATTCGGGGATAGTAAATTTTGTACATGAGAGGTTTTTCCTTGACAATACATCACTAATTATTAAATATTAATGCTTGGTCAGATACTTGCAGTTATTTAAAGTAAATATACAGATAATATATTAAATTCATTGTCTTTATATTTTATTCCACGCCAAATCGTTCATTATTTGAGTTTTGCATCTCGAATTTCTCTTTTTTTATACGTAGGTAGTACCATAAAAACCTTCATTGATTTTATTCTAAAACCATTCATAAGATATGCATTTTTTCTAGACCGATTATGAGCATTTATAATTTGATCATTATTTTTCAACATTTTTAGTTCCATAAAGTAATGTTTTTTTTTAATTAAATAACTGTTTGATTTTAATGAAAAATTACCAATTATTCATAAGAGCTTATTGTTCATAAGAAATTACAAAAAACTACAGACGCAAACAAAATATACAAAGATTATCTAATCGAAATAAAATGTTTTTTTCTTAAAACTTATATTAGTTTTATTAATTTAATTGAACTAAAAAAGACGAAAAAAATGTGTGTTGTTTACTCAGTTGTATACTAACGACTAGACTAGACTAAAAAATAAAATAAAATGGCTAATAGTGCTAGAAAAAAAATGATTACATTTATCGTGAAAACCCTGATTTCAATTTTAAAATCGAAAAAAACCAGTTGCAGTATTTTTTATAAATGTTTAACAAACGTATAGATCATACAAACATTTTAATGTTTTTTTTTATCGTTACACGAATTTTCAGTAGGCTACACACAATTGAAAGAAAATAACTATCCCGTGAACGGTGCAAAAGCCGAATGATGCAAGATTTGGCGTGAAACGCATACATAATAATGTTATAATATTATACGATTGTTTAAACGGTTTTTTTTTTGTTTGTTTTTTTTACTCACGAGGAAAGCACTCCTGCCGGGACAGCGATACGTTAATTACCAATACGACAACTGAAAAAAATAAATAACAAACAAACCGTGAATTCATTAGTGTACATTAACGTTATTGAGGTCTTACACATTACTCGGGTCGTACAATATTATAACAAAGAGGTACAAGCATACAATGCAGCTAATCATTATTAGGCAAAGCAACGACAACGACTAAGGTTTACAAGTGCGGGACGACAGCAAATGTCACACACACACTTACATAAGTTAAGTTTGAAATCGTACAAATCGATTATGCACCATAGGTCTATATTATTCTGCTGGCGTATCCCCAACAACGTTTGCATGCCCGTGACGTATACTCCTGCACCGACAATATTATGATTGTATTATATTATACCGTAATATTATTCCAGTATAATGTTGTGATTCGAGTTTAACTCCGAGTACTAACGCTGTACGTGTAGACGAAGAGAGGGATAATCGAGTTTGAATTTGGTTTTGGAACGTAGCATATATTAGATAATATATTATGTGTAATACGGTTATGGGTAACTTGACATATTTCGTCTTTGAGTATGTGACGTACAAGTAAAGGACTTGTACCTACGGTGAATTTCGCCTATAAGACAATAAACGACCGAGATAATAATTGGATGATTAATTATATATAATATAAAGAAATGTTATTTCCTTAATCTTTCCTGTGAAAACATTAATACTTGCTTCGATTATAAAAAAAATTGTTATTTATAAAACCGTATTCGAATTGGAAAAATAATAGTAACGGGAGTTGAATATAATGTGTAAATAACGAGTAGTAGAGAGTTCTGAAAATTATTATAAACCTCATCTTACCAATGGGGTAAGATATACAACTCAACAGAGCAAAGTAACATAATTATTATCTTATCGAGGGCTCAAAATAAAATAGTACTTAGTACTAAGATAATAATAATTTTTACATTTTTGAAGATAGTGATTTTTCATTTTACATCGTTGACCGTAGTTGACCCTGGTTTTCAAGAGTGGCGACTATTGGTATTGGGTACAACGTCTTTAAGCTTTGATTAGTTTTTATTCTTAAACTATAATTTTATCTAAAGAGATATTTAAGTTAAATTTCTTCTTTTTAGCGATATATAGAATTATTATATCTTTCTTACCTGACTGGTTTAAAACAGAATTATTGTGACTTTAAAAGATTTTTAGTAAAATAATTAAGTATATAGTTGGAAAAATAAACGGAAATCGCTATTTTATTAGTTGAAATTAAGCTCACAATTGAGCTTAGTTGCTTTGATATGGAAGAAAAATGTTTATGTCAAATTTTACTATCGAATATGTTTTTAGTTTAACATATCATATTGTCTATATGACTATATTAGTGGTGTAATTAATTTAAAATTGTTGGGGGTGTTAAGCTCTATAGTCTATACTATAGTAACATTAACAACTTATTAACAGGCTATAAATAACATCTGGAGGGGGTTTCAAACAGTAGCGTATTTATGGGGGAGGGGGGTATGGGGGATATATCCCTTCCCTTGAACTTTTTTTTTGTTGGTTTTTTTGTAGTTAAGTTTTCCGTATTTCTCAATATAATATTACTTTTAAGTATATCTGTTTTCTAACTATTCTAAAAAGACCAAAGGGAAGGGATCTATCCCCCTCTATATAAATACGCTGCTGGTTTCAAATTACTTGTTGTGGGCTCTCATCCTCCTAGATGAGTCACAAGTCAATATATTAATGTAAGCAGCCCAGTAGCGGTTCTCGGTGGATCATCATCGTCGACTATCTCATAAATAAAATACTATATTATAATATATTTAGGTTTCGGAAACGTGCCGGTAATCAGTATTTAGGTACAATATGCGGTTTAATGCGGTACAGAAATTACCCAAAATTAGGCACGTACCGGCACCAATATGTTATACTTAAACGGCGAAGCGGCTTGTGCGTTAATAACATTACAATTATTCAGGTCACCCTAAGAAACTAATTGATTACGGATTTTTCGAATATTGGCAAAAAAAAAAAAAAAAATGACCCGCGTCGTAGTATTGTTATATGCGAGAAAAAACTTAATATACCAACCAACCTGTAATCTAAGTGCTTGTGTAAAATACATTTTTTTTTCACAATCAATTTTCTACGCGTTTACACTATGCTCTATTCGGAGTAGTTTTCCTATCCCACGCATAATATAAAATATACTACAAAGCGGAGTAATATATAATAAATATTATACTATTAGGTATTGTACTTTATATAAAAAAAAAAATCATTTATTATACACACACACACAGTTTGATTGTTGTTATATTATAATAAGTGTTATTATAAGAGTACCTATGGCGTTACAAGAGCGCATCTAATAATAACAAAAATATGTATATATATATATATATATATAAATAGTTTATACACAGTAAGATTATATTAGTTAAAGTTCATTAGTAATTTACATATTGAACGTGAGCTAGGTAATTTTATTTTTCTTTGCTTATTTTTTTTATAGCCTCAGTCCTCGTTTTCGCTTCGAGTTAACCCAGGGACGGTTGCATCAATATTTACTATAATATAATATGTGACTTGAACATTTGGAAGGGCGAATAGGAGCAATTTGTGGAAACTCGATTTACTCCAATGAATCGCTTTTTTTATTACATTTTTTTCCCCCGGGTCTATCCGGTTCGAAGGACCACCCGAGGTGGTGACAGCTGGATGTAGCAGCCGTCACGCTCGTCAATACCTGTGCAATTTCGTAATGCATCACGGGGTCTTGGAAATATTATATAGGTTTTGCGAAAACCGGGCTTATTGAGTTATTCCGAAAAAAGTGTATTGCTTTTGACGTTTAATCTATTTGGAAAAAATTGAAAAAGTTTGAATAGTCGAGGTAACAATAGCAGCATCAGCCGCTCTTGAATATAACGTTTTCATAAAATATATAATAATGTAGTTTTCTTATATATACATGTATTTTTTTTATTTTAAAAGAAGGAAATTATGAAAGTTTACTATATTGTTAAATGAAATTATTTCAATGATTGTTTATAGTACAAAATGTCATGGCAGTTCAGGAAAAAAAATCTGAAAATAGGTCGAACATATTGTATTTATTTTTGGTTAATACCAATAGATTTTTAGTGACATTAACTTTGTTAATTATTTTTTTTATGGAAAAGACCACTGTAGTTTGTCGCCTCATGTGTTAACTTATATATATATATTATTTACTATAAAATATTAGGTATGTGTTAAAAAAAATTTTACCTTTCATCGGTATTACATTATTTTAGCGATTATAAAACAAATACAATAGATAAAAACGGAATAAATATAATAATAATAAAAATAATTATGTGTTGTGACTTAAGCTGTCGATCACAAAACATCATTTAGATTTCAGGAGTCGTGTTAACACTTAACAGAGAATTTATAGATATGCATCACTATAAGTATGATGTACCGTTTCTCTTGCTGGGCGGAAGGCAACCGTCTGCAAAAAGAAATGGCCACCTGTCTGGTGCGGAAATCTACGGGAAACCACAGCACCATAAATCTCCTTCCCCGGGATACAGATATTGTTAAGACGTAAAAATAAGAGTTTTAAACCTACCATAAGGTTGTAGAAAGAAGGCATGATATAGGTGCACCGTCTTACCGAATGTATAATCGAGTGGTTTGTACATCAAATTATTAGGAATCTTAAATATTGTTTTAGTAACTTCTAGAAACTTTGGTGGTTAAGGTAAATGACCAACTTTGTTAGAAGTTATAGGCCTATTATCTTACAAATACATCATTACAGTTTATAATGACGTTTAGATAATAAATCATTTTAGCACTACGTTGACACTTGTTGATACTTTGATGATTGATCAATACTAATTTACCTCTTACCGTGAAATGTTTAAAAACATTCATTAATATGAAAACAACGACAACAAGTAATCCTAGGAAAACTCTTTAGGCCATGTATGGTACAACGCTACAATGTCCAATCACTTTTTTATACGTCCCAAAGGATAAACAATGTTACGTATTATGTAGGGTGAGAGACGCAATTAGAGGGGTTTGCAATGACATAGCTGCCCAAAAGTCGTTTATTAAAAAAGAAATAACCACTCTATGAAATAGAAAAAAGTTTATATGCTCCAATAATGATTATATCCAGAACGTGTTAACTATAATAGCAAACCTATGACAAGATTGGATCATAAAAAATTAACATTAAGGCTCTACAGGCCTTCCAAAAAATATGTTACCCCGGTTAGGTATCTAGCTGTTGTTGCAATAGTTCTGCGATCGCCACGTCACCGAGATTAGCCTCAGTTGTATAGTCTTAACGCCCGCGGTCTCGCGAGTTTTTTTTTACAAATTAAAAAACAAACAGAATATGTATAATAATATTATAACTATGTGCAACCGTGTACTTGTCGGGGGACGCTTTGGTGTCGGACGATAACAGCTAGTAGAAAAAACGTCCATTAATTTGCGGCAAGGGCGGTGGTTTTCGAACGGAAAACGTTTTTTTCTAATAAAAAACAAACAAAATTGGCATTTCGCTGCCGAACGCGCACATGTCACTGCGCTAAATGTTTATTCGCCTTAGACCAAAACGATAGTAGCACATAACATTATGAGGCGTTTAAAAATAAATTCGCCGTGGAAGTGGTTGCCGAGTGGACTTCGGCCAACATCGAAAATATCATGCATGTCGTTCTCCATAGCACCGATACGATATTAAATATATCATATCAAAATACTTACCGCAAACTGGATTTGCTTATTTATTTATTATTTTTATGATTCCTACATTATGCCAGATCGGAAAACGCAACAGCTGTGATGGCGTGGGGCAATAAACATTTCGGGACTGATTGCAGTGGTTAATTGATGACTATCTTTTTGACAGCTTTTGTTAGTTAGAAACAATCGCTGTTAAAAATATGTCACAGCAATTATTAGAATCGAAGCTAAGGAAAGTAGGTATCTAATCTTATTTCATATAAACTAATCGAAGCTAACAAAAACAATTCAGTAGGGTTATATAAGGTAATTTGGTTGAGGTTTTATTATTATTATTAGGGTGGATACGATTATAAGGTTGATCGTCCAACTATTGAATTTTAATGCCGTTATTACCCATACAAATACCGTGAATGAAAATATTTGTCAGGTAACTGTTGAATTTTGATAGACTTTCTACTCATATTCTATTATTTGATTTATCTATTATTCGCATCCTAGAAATTGAATACGGCCAAAGTGTATTTTTTTCTTTTTTTTTAAGTTTTCTTTAATAATAAAAAATGGGTTGACTACACATTTTACATCTAATGAATATTCCCTAAAAATTCGGAATAAATTTGACTATTTTCAAAAAAACTTACAGCGTGCTACTTACATGCTATATAAAGAAATCGGTTCAGCGGTTAAGAAACTATCATGAGTCAACATACAAAAATAAAAACACTATTTTAATAACAATACCTTCTAAGCTTCGCATCGAAGCTAAAATTATAATACTGTACGACCGGGGTTGATCATTTTATGACTTTTGTGTTTGTTTAAGACCGGTTATAGTTAATATTTATTATACTTGTTTTACTGTTTACCTGAAAAAGTCCACCGCATTTTCCTCGCTGAAGCTTACATTCACCGCTTGGCTGGTCGTTGGGGCCGGAAGTTGGAAATGCTCTGGCGTAGGGGTGCGTTTACCCTCGGGGTCGACTGTAACAAAAACGGCCACATAATATCCTACTTATGTGCACACTTGACGCTTATTAATTTTGTTACTGCAACAAGAGCCGTTGTCGTCGTTGATGCGACATTTTTTTTTTTGCACACTCTTTGCCAAAAATAAAAAATATCCCACTCAGTTACCAGTGTATCACTATAAACTTACCTCGCGCCTTTTAACCCTCAACGGTCGACGATGTGTTGGTAAGATTGTCTGAAGGGGAGGGGGGAAGAAAAAACGTTCCATCTCGAGTTAAAATATATCCGACTATTTTTTTTTTTTTTTATGTATGTGTTAAAA